CCCTCTCCAGATGTTTTGGTCCCTCTATATATCTACTGTGGCCCCTCTCCAGATGTTTTGGCCCCTCTCCAGATGTTTTGGCCCCTCTCCAGATGTTTTGGCCTCTCTATGTATCTACTGCGGCCCCTCTCCTGCCCTGGCACCGCCCGGACTCGAACCGCCGACCCTCTCCTCTCCATCTGCCCGTTGACAGAGAACCGAGTTGTCCGCGGCTCGTGTTTCCAGCCGGACACCATTCGCGGCTGCACCGGCTCCGGGGAGCATTTCCCGCGCATTTGTCCCCGCACCGAGCCTCGGAGCACCGACGATGCTGAGCTGGACCCGCGGGGACTCCATGGAGCCGGACTCTCTGGACGCCATGTCGAAGAGCGACATCCTGCGAGGCATCATCGTGGAGAAGCTGAGCACCGCCGCCCGGGAGATCCTGGCGGTGGTGGAGCGGACGGTGACCGACTACGAGGAGGAGGCGTCGGGCTTCAGGCAGGAGATCGACCGGCAGCGGAGACAGCTGGAGCTGCTGCAGCCGGAGATCAAGCAGGAGACATCCGGTGAGAGCCGCCGGGTTCCCGCTGAGTGTTTACCGGCGAACCCCGTTCACAGAACCGCTAATTTGCCGACGCTTTGTTCTCGTCGGGACCCACCGACACCGGAGGACCGGACACCGGAACCGTCGCTGTCGCTGCCCGGTTCGGCTCCTATTCGGACCGTCCCGGTGGTTCCGATGTGGCCGTTTAGGTCGAGCCTGTTGTTAGATTCGAGCCCCGGAGCCGAACCGTGTCGGTGATGTTCGGGGAGCCGCTCCGGTGCTGAGCGGACAGCTACGGATGTTCCGAGCCGGTCCGCGGAACCTCCGGAGGCTCCCTCAGACATCCGGGCCGGAACCTCTCAGTCCAACCAGCGACAACTGAGATTTTTAACTCGTTTCTTAAGTTGCGCATCTGAATCAAAACAAAGATGGCGGCGGTCGGTGTTCTGCAGGGTTCTGGGCACGGAGCGGGAGCGCGCACAGCTGGAGCAGAAATAATAAATAAACAGATTTATTGTTTTTAATGTCAAAGAAACGATGAAAGTGTTGACAGCAGGTCGCTCAGACAGAGCAGGACGAAGCTTCAGACCCAGAACAACACGTCAGGATGCAGCAGAGAGGAAAACACTGACAACAAGGAAATACACAAAACTGAGTGTAAAATATACAAGAGATGTTCAAAAAGCACTTAAAGTAAACTCAATAGGAAATGTAAAAAAAAATCTGAATGAAGAAACTTTAATTACGTTTTTAAAAAAAAGAAGGAAGAATGAGAAAAATGTTAAACGTGAATCAGAAAATCATAAATTAATTGAAAAAAGGAAACTTCAGTTTTGTGAAATGAAAATAAAATACACAAGTCAGAGAAAAAATGTTTTAAAAAAGTGAAAATAAGAAATTTAAAAACATCTCATTAATTTACAAAGACCAAACATGGATTATATAAAATATCAATATTAAAATAAAATCCAACAAAAGGGGGAAAAAGTAAATAAAGAGAAATTGTAAAAATGCTATTTTTAAGTCATCCAGGGTTTTTTTTCCAGATGGAGACTAAACAGAAGCTCCTTAATGAACACTAAAGCAGAAACTACAGACGTTAATATTCTGTTTTATTGTGAAAACAAGACGCGTTTGATTTCCAGGAAACCTACAAAAAAAATGAACAAATAAAAACACTTCAGTGACACAATCTTAGACGGACGTGTTTTCACGGCGCTTATAAACTTCTGATCTCGTCTGTTCGTGGGTTTCTAATAACTCGTACGGCTCCGTTTAGACGATGAGTTTTTGTTTCTGTTCTTGACTCGTCGTCTGCAGTGATTTCGAACAGAAACGACTTTTTATTCGGTTTAAACGAACCTGAAGATATTCTGTGTGCTTTGTTTGTGTTCTTTAATGAGGTTCTTCTGCGACTCTGTTAGTAACTAAAGCGTCTGTTTGTGATCCAGATGAGCCGCACGTTTTTCCCGTCGGCGAGACCGGCGCCGGTGAACCGGTGGAGGAGGAGGAGCTGCACAAATACGAACCAAGTAAGGATCATGTTGTTGTTGATGAACCTGCAGGTCGTGTTTGATCAGGTAACGACCAGTCAGTTAACTATGATCAAAGCCCCCAGAGCATGATGCTGCCGCCGCCGTGCTTGATGGTAGCACGAGATCTGACAACCTGAAATCCTCAAAATTCAGCCGAGAACTTTTGTCGAACTTAGTTGTTGGTCCCGAAAGACAAATATGTAAACCCTGAGCAAAACCTGTGACGGTGCAGCGACGCCACTTGGTTACCTCCCCAGAGCATGATGCTGCCGCCGCCGTGCTTGCTGGCATGACCGGTTTAAATGTGGCGACGCGGCGCTCTGTGAGGTGGAGGCGGCGACTCAGGTGTGATCTGTGTGCAGGTGAGGAGGACAGCGAGAGTCTGGGGATCGTCTGCTACACCGAGCAGCAGGTGGAGGACGACGAGCACGAGGATGAAGAGGCGATCGAGGAGGATGAAGATGAGGAGGAGGAGGAGGAGGAGGAGGACGACGACGACGACCGGGCGTCGCTGAGCTCTTCTCCTGAGCAGCTTCACTTCGCCGAGCCGGGTTACGAAGCGGCGCCGAGGTTGTTTTCATGACGCACGACCAGAACCGCGCGGCGTTTGTTCGTCGTCGCCGTTGTTTGTAACCCGGCTGCTCGTCTTGCAGGTTGTTGAGTTCCACGGTTCAGTCTGACAGGCGGAGCGTGGGCAGACCTCGGATCAGCAACTCTCAGACCCTCATCGACCTGAGGATCCGCATCCTGGAGGACTCGGACATCGATGTTCTGTCAACCGGAGGTGAGTCTGAAGCGGCGGTGACCTGAGACCTGGTACATGCAGAGTTTATCACCACAGTTTGGTTCTCCGGCAACTTCAGGAGAAGCTTCTCAGCAGTTTTCAGAACGTGGTTGAAGTAAGAAGTCTAAAGTTCTACGTATGTTTGATCTTGTGTTGTTTCGACGCCTCCTCAGCTGTTTAAAAACCACCTCCCTCAGTCTGAAAAACACATTTTGTTCCACGTTTGAAGTTAAGAATTTGCCAAATGTCAAATAAATTGTTAAGAAATTCTATAAAACTATAAAGAAAAACTTATAAAACTTTTCTTTGCTGATGATGTGACTTCATTCCACCGTTTGCTCTTTAAAATCTGGCTTTTATGGCCCTTTTTTGTGGTTATTTTGCTTTTTTTTTGCCTTTATTTTGTGTCTCTTTGCGGCCATTTGACTTTTTTTTGGTCCAGATTTTATGGTTTATTTGAAAGTCGATTCTCTTTGGGGTCATTTTGATCAAGTTTTTGAGTAATCTTGAGCCACGTTCGTGTAATTTTGGACAGATTTTCAGTCATCTGGGGGATTTTTTTTGTCATTTTGGAAACGTTTTGAGTAATTTTGGCTCATTTTAAGAGTTAAAGAGTCAAGTTTAGAGTCGTTTTGAGGTTTTTTTCAAGCCATTCGGGACAGATTTTTGCAGTTATGAGTCATTTTGTTCACGTTATGAGTCATTTCGATCAGGTTTTTGCCATTTTGCAAACAGTTTGAGTCGTTCTGGAGTCACATAGATCTACATTCAGGTAATTTTGGATGGATTTTTGTCAGGTATTTTCAGTTATGAGTCATTTTGTTGACGCTTTGAGTCTTTTTGGACACGTTTTGAGTCCTTCCCTTCATGTTCTCCACCGTTTCCCTGCCCCAGTGTTCCAGAAGTATCCGGCCCACGAGCTCCAGTGTCCTCGAGGCCTCCGGCAGGACGACTTCCTGCTGCTGCTCCGGTCCTCCTTCCCTCAGCTGGCCGCCGGAGAACCCTTCGACGTCTTCACCACCGACAGGACCAAGAGGCTGCTTCCCCTGGAGGTGAAGAGTCTGACCCCGGAGGAGATCTACAGAACCATCAGGTCCAGCGGGAACTCCGCCCTCTACATCCGGCTGAAGGTTCGTGTCACATGGAGGACCTTGTTTCATTTCGCAGACGAACTTCTTCCTGTTTTGTGTGCATATATGGTTTATTTTGCTTTTGTTGTGCGTCTCTTTGTGGTCATTTTGTGTCTCTCTGTTGTTGTTCTGTTCTGTTTTCTACCCGGTTGTCTCTTTGTTGTCCTTGTCCCTGTGGTTCGGACGTCCTCGGCTGTTCCAGAGGCAGGTGAATGAGACCGCGTTGCTTTCTCGGTGTGATTAAACGTTTTGTGATGTTCCGTCATCCGGTTTGTTTTTGTGCGGTTTTCCTAAAGAACTCGTTCCAACTGCTGTGTTTCAGAAGCCGAAGGAGGTGCAGTCAGCCGAGTTCGACCCGTCGCAGAGAGACGCCGCCGCCGCCACCGAGGCTTCGTCCTCCTCAGATCAAAGCAGGAAACTCTTGAGGTGCTTCAGTCGGTCTGCCGCTGCTGTTTGTGAGAACTCAGGACGGTTCTGATGTCATGTCTGATTATCTGTGGCAGGAGGAAGCCCGGCAGACCTCGGATCAGCGACACACAAACCCACATCCACCTCAGAGTCCGGATCCTGGAGGCCTCCCAGACCGACGTCCTGTCGGCCAGCGGTACGTCCAACACACATCCTGCATCTACAGCTGATAAGGTCCATGTTCATCAGTCAGTCTCCAGTGACTCCCAGAACCATGGAACCATTGGATCATGAAAACAATCCTGGATTCTGGTTCTGTCATAGGTCTATTAAAGGTTTTCTGGAGACATGATAAAAACCTGCTGGATCATAAATATAAAAACAGAAACTTGACTTATCAGTTCTGCTGATGGAGAAGGTTCTGTTTCTCTAATGTTCTCAGCTTCATGGCCTCCTAACTCCTCCTGAGTGGTTCTGATCGACTCCAGCTGCTGACTCCTCTGATCCAGTTTCAACAGAACCATCTGATCCACTCATTAGACTGAAGTCTGAGGAGCTCAGCAAAGATCTGGAGAAGAACATCAGGGACTGGAACCAGTCAGAAAGTCACTTGGAGCATTTCAGAGCAGCTTCAGATCCAGAACCATCAGTGTGTCAGCATGCAGCTCATGGTCCAGTTGTGTTACTGCCACCATCAGGAAGGAAACACAAACTAGCAGCTGCTGCTGAGAGACGACTGGTCAGGATGGTCAAGAGTCAACCAGGAACCAGCAGGAAGCAGCTCTGGATGGACCAGAAGCTGCTGGAACACAGCTGTCAGTGTCCACAGGGTCTGACATCAACATGAGCTGAGAGGTGATGGAGAAGGAAGTTCTTCCTCTAGAAGCAGAACCTTAAAGCTCCACTGATCACATGGACAAAGAAAAGACCTTCTGGAGGAAAGTTCTGGTCAGATGGAACAAACACTGAGCAGAACCATGTCTGGAGAAGAGAAGGTGAGGCCTTTAACCCCAAGAACACCAAACCTACCATCAAGCATGGAGGTGGCAGCATCATGCTCTGGTTCTGTTCTGCTGCCAGTGGACCTGGAGCTTTACACAAAGTCAGTGGAACCATGAAGAAGGAGGATCACCTCCACGTTGTTCAGGAGAACCTGAAACCATCAGCAGAAGGTTGATCTTGGACACAGTTGGATGTTCCAACCAGACAATGAGCCCAAACACACATCAAAGTGGTGAAGAAATGGTTCCATCAGGCTGGAATGAAGGTTCTAGACTGGTCTCCCCAAAGTCCTGACTGGAACCATCCAGAACCTGTGGACTGATGAAGGAACAAGTCTGAGTCAGAAAGATGACGAGTTTAGTTGAACTGCAGCGGTTCTGTCCAGAGGAGTCAGAGATGGACCAGAAGCTGGTGGACGGAACCAGAAGAACCCGACTGAGGAGAACATGGATGTTGAACCAGATGTTAGAACGGCTGTATGTTTATTTATGATCCAGTGTAACTCCGACTCTGTTTCAGCTCGAGACTCAATTAATGTGAACGTTTCCTCTGGTTCCTCTCAGTGTTCCAGAAGTTCCCGGTTCAGGAGCTCCAGTGTCCTCGAGGTCTTCAGGAGTCCGACTTCCTGGACCTGCTCCGGTCCTCCTTCCCTCAGCTGGCCGACGGGGAACCTTTCGAGGTGTTCTCGACGGACAGAACCAGGAGGCTTCAGCCTCTGAACGTAGAGACTCTGACCCCGGAGGAGATCAGCAGCACCATCAGGTCTACTGGGAACTCTGCCCTCTACATCCGGCTGAAGGTACTGCAGCGAACGGCACCGTCTGCTGGACGTCAGCAGACCAAGAGGTCGGTGTTTAATGAGTAGGTTGTCGCTGTTTCAGTCTACAGGGGAGCTGCAGCCCAAAGAGGAGGAGGCTCTGCAGAGCAACGACGCTGAAGATGATCTGTCCACGCCGACGACCAGCCGACACATCAGCAGGTGGCTTCTCATGGCAGCGAGGGTTTTGGTTACCAACAAGTTTGTGCCATGTTGTTTTTATGTTTTAGTCATTTTTGACAAATTCTAAATCATTTGTGGATGTATTTGTGTTTTTTTTAAAATATATTTGAGAACTGTTGGCCGGGTTTACGTCATTTTGGACATTTTTTAGTCACTTTCGCCGTGTTTTTGTCCTTTTTATGTGAATTTTGAGTCATGTTGGATCATGTTGGAGTCAGTTTGTGGGTCATGTTGATGTCATCCGACCGCTACTGCAGCAGGACGCCTCCAGCTGATGATTAGCGTCCACAGCTTCATCCTCTGATCTCCGTCTTTACCGTTCCTGTTTCCCAGAATTCAGTCTGACAGGCGGCGGCGTGGAAAGGCTCGGAACCAGGAGTCGGAGTCCCACATCGATCTGAAGATCCGCATCCTGGAGGACTCCCAGATCAACGTCATGTCGCCCATCGGTGAGTTTACCGTGTATAGTCCCGGTTCTGACGGGTTCCCTCTTCGCTCTGTTGGACTCGCTGAGTTTCCTCTGGTTCCTCTCAGTGTTCCAGAAGTTCCCGGTTCAGGAGCTCCAGTGTCCCCGAGGCCTCCAGGAGTCCGACTTCCTGGACCTGCTCCGGTCCTCCTTCCCTCAGCTGGCCGACGGGGAACCCTTCGACGCCTTCACCACCGATGGACTGAGGAGACTGCAGCCACTGAAGGTGGACAGTCTGACGCCGGAGGAGATCCACGGAGCCACCAGGTCCACCGGGGTTCCCGTCCTCTACATCCGGCTGAAGGTACCAGAACCCTTCACCCACACATCGCCTGGTCTCAAACATCAGAACTTATTTAAGTCATTTCTGATCATCTGCGAGTCATTTTCATGTCATTTTGGACAATACCTGAGTCATTATTGACTCGTTTGGAGTCATTTTTAGCCGGTTTATGGTCATCGTGAGCGATCGTCGTGTCTTTATGGGCAGAGTTTCAGTCATGTTGGACACGTTTATGTGGTTCTGGACGGATTAGGAGTCGGTTCTGGCAGGTCTGTTTCATTGTGGACGATGTTTCGGAAGTCGTTTTTCAACCGTTGGGTTTCATCTGCGATCCACTGAAGTCACACAGTCGCTCGTTAGTTTGTGTAAATTCGGCTTAAAGACGTGAAACGATCAGATGTTGTCCTCTGAGAGACGCTCTGACTGGGTGTGAATCTCGTTTCAGCGTCCGGCAGAGCTTCATAGTGAAGAGGCTGCAGCTGAAGAAGCTCCTTCGCTTCCCGACCAAACGGCAGCGAGCAGCCGGTGAGTCGCCAGCAGCTGATCGCTTATCGATCGGCTGTTCGATCCGCTGACACGAATGCTTCTGTGTCCCAGAGTTCTGCCTGTCAGGAGGAAACGCGGTCGGCCTCGGAGCAAGGACTCGTCCTCCCACGTGGACCTGAGGATCCGGTTCCTGGACGAGTCTGAGAACGACATGACGACGCCCGGTGGTGAGTCGGATCGGCTGTTCTGCAGTAAATGTTGGTTAAATGTTGTATATAGGTTTGTTTGTAGCTGCTCTGATGTAGCCGCGGCTCACATGTACGACTTTGACAGGAGTCGTGTTCAAACAAACGACGTTATCAGCAGGATGTTCTACCGGATGTTTCAGATGCTTCAGACGAATCCGGAGTCGTTTCCAAAGGTTTTCTGTTTTATCAGCGTTCCAGCGGTTCTGAACAGTTCCACACTGGACACTATTATGTAGGATTACGACACATTTTGGACAAAATATTTACTCAACTATTCGTAGTTTCTCAAAGGTTTTTCTTTTTTGACCAATTTTAAACAGTTTTGAATCATTTTGGACACCTTTATGGTCATTTTAAACAGTTTTTGAGTGATTTTGAAGCAGTTTTGAGTCCCCTTGATCAACTTTGAGCCACTTTAAAGAAGTCAGGATTCATTTAAACAGATTTATAGTGAATCTGAACAGTTCAAGGCTCACTACGGACTATTAAAAAACTCATTTATTGTCATTCTGGACATAAATTTGAGTGAATTAGTCATTTCCCAATGGTTTTTCTTTTATGACCCATTTGTAGGGATTTTAAACAGTTTTTGAGGGATTTTGAAAATATTTTGAGTCTCATTAATCAACTTTGAGCCACTTTAGACGAATCTGGATTCATTTTGAACAGATTTATCATGACTTCCAACAGTTTTTGGCTCATTGTGGACAGAGTTTTAGTCATTTGGGTGTAATTTTGTGTTGTTTTGGACAAATCTAGAGTCACTTTGAACAGTTTCTAAAACATTTTGGGCAGATTTCCGGTCACACTCGACCAGTTCACACACTGACGGAGTTTGGACAGATTTATTTCCATCTGGAACATCGTTGGCATCATTTTAGAAAGATTTTGTGTCTTTTCCTTCGTGTTGTCGACCGGCTGAGTGTCTCTGGTTCCTCTCAGTGTTCCAGAAGTATCCGGTCCACAAGCTCCAGTGTCCTCGAAGCCTCCAGGAGGACGAGTTCCTGCTGCTGCTCCGGTCCACCTTCCCTCAGCTGGCCGCCGGAGAACCCTTTGACGTCTTCACCACCGACAGGACCAAGAGGCTGCTTCCCCTGGAGGTGGAGAGTCTGACGCCGGAGGACATCCACCAGGTGAACCGGACCAACCGGAACTCTGCCCTCTTCATCCGGCCGAAGGTACTGAAGGTCTGATGCCTTCCCAAGTGGTCCTGAGCTCATTCCAACATACATCCTTTTGTCTTTTCAAACAACTGAGCGTTTGTATAAAACGGCTCAAACTGTGTCCACAGTGACACGAAGTAAATGTCTAGAATGACCAGTTTGTTCAGAAGGAACATAAAAATGACACAAAATGCGCAAAATGACAGGAAACGTGTCCAAACTCGCTCTGTAATCATTTATAGTTATTCTACAGTATGATCAGCTCGTCTAGAAATGACTCACAGCTTCACAAACTAGATGGAAATGATTAGAAATGTGTCCGTCATGAAATAAACCTAAAGCCACGATAACGTTTGTCCTAAATCACACTGATGTTGTTCACGTTTGCTCATATTTGGTCCAAAACTGTTTGAAACTCGCCTAAAAGTTAGTCAGAAACTGGATTTGTGTCTGAAATCTCGTCGAAAAAACAAACTCTTTCAGACACGAGACGACGTGGAGGCCGGACAGAAGAACCTTCTTCCCCCGGAGAGAGACGTCGACGCCGCTGAGGATCTTCCGTCGTTCTCCGAACAAACCGGCCTGTACCGGAGGTGAGCGCTGAAGAAAATCAGCGTGTTTCTACAGACGTTATGTAGAATAGAAACGGAAAGCCATTTAAAAGCATCGTCACAACGTGGTTCATTTTCCTGATTAGTTTAAGCTGACAAATCTGACAAGTTGTTTTAAAGAGGAGTCCTGTCTTCAGCCCAGTCGTGCTGTGCTCTGTGTTCCCAGCAGCCCCGTCCATCAGCGAGAAACGGGACCCAACGTTCTGTCCAACAGCTTGGCGTCGCATCCTGAAGACGTGGAGCCGGAGGACGACGGCGAGGAGTCGGCCAACCTCTGGTTTCTGATGCCGTCCGAGAGCGACGATGTTTCCGATGGCGAGGACGACTGGAGGCCGAACACGAGCGACGAGCGCCTGAGGAACGGAGAACCCGACAGGATGATGGCGAAGCAGCAGGTCAAGGCCAGGAAGACCAAGCAGGCGGCGGCGGCGTCCCCGCTGACCGACCACAGCGACGCCCAGCTGTCCTGTAAAGTCTGCAAGATCCTCCGAGGGTCCATGAACATGTTGATCAAACACGCCTGGAGCCACGTGAACGAGCGCGAGCGTCTGTGCGGCGTCTGTGGGCATCAGTCCGAGTCCACGGAGCAGCTCAGGAGCCACCTGCAGACGCACCAGAAAACTCACAGCTGCAACATCTGCGGCAAGTCCTTCATCACCGTGTCCGGCTTCAGGGGCCACATCGCCCGGCACAAAGGCAACAGGCCCTACAAGTGCAAGATCTGCCACAAGGCGTTCACCGAGAAGTCGGTGCTGATGAACCACCGCTGGGTCCACACCAAGGACAAGCCGCACAAGTGCGACGTCTGTCACAAGTCCTACCTGTCGAAGCTGAAGCTCCGAGACCACCGGTCGACGCACACCGGCGGGAAGCTGTACGGCTGCAACGTGTGCGGCAAACGCTTCCGCAGCCTGGACACGCTGTCCGGCCACATGGTGCTGCACTCGGGCCACACGGCGGTCCGGGAGCGCCGCTGCGTCTGTGAAGTCTGCGGCAAAAGGTTCTCCACAGACAAGAACCTGCGCATCCACATGAAGAACCACAGCGAGGACCGACCGTTCGCCTGCAGCAAGTGCAACAAGAGGTTCTCGTTCAAGTCCAACCTGGTGACGCACATGAGAGTCCACACTGGGGAGAAACCCTACCAGTGCCCCGTCTGCGGGAAGACCTTCAGCCAGAACCACTGCGTGAAGAGACACCTGCTGAAGCACCGCGTGCAGGAGATGTCGCCCATCAACGGAGCAGCTTACTAGTGTGACTCACAAAGATGGCTGACCATCTTTGTGAGTGACGCCCATATTTGGCAGAAACGGGTGCCGCCGTCTTTTTCTGGCGATTACAACCGGAGTGTGTGCAGCAGTGGCCTACGAGCTAGCCAACAGGGCTATCGCCATGCCAACAACGTGACTTCGATGCGATACCTGCCTAAATATACCAACACTGGGGATGTCTCAGTTCAGTTTTTATGCCATCACTCCGAGCTGTTTAATTTTTTTTTGTCACTGCTGCTCTTCCTCAATAATGCGCATTTCAGTTATTGTAGATTAGCGGTAATACCTGCCTGCACCACCAGGTGGAGCCTCTCACTGTCACTCAGGCTCCAGGCAGTTCATGTTGGCACCAGAGAGCATCGTGGGAGTTTAGCCAGTTAGCCAGTGGCACCATGACAAAGACTTCTGCGATGCTCGATGACCTTAAATCAAGCTGGGATCCACTCAGCTAATGGTTTATCCCAGTTTCATTGGTCTGTTCTATCCCGTCATGTGTCCGTGGCTAGTAATACACTACGCTAGCACGGGACAAATGTCCAGTGTTATTAATCGATAGTGCTGTATTTATTAATGATCAGGTTTAGGTTCATGTAAATACCAATGCTTGCAAATGTCCCGACAGATACTGAAACGACACCACAGCCGAAATCTAAAGCGTCCGGAAGTGTTTTGTAATATCAGATGACGGAACTCAAAGTTTGTCGTTTTTTATTGCTCAAAAGAAGACTTGGGGGAGAATTGGACTCTGATGTTTTGTTTGCTCTCCAAGTACGTTCACCAGTTACCACGTATTTAAACGGGAGCAGCAGGTTACAGAAGGAACGTTGGTGTTGAGCTAGCACATGTGTGAAAGCTGGTGTTTGAACTGAACCAGGGGTCTGTAAGTCCTGATGACATCTAACTTGTCGAACTGAGTAACGTTTGGCTTTCAGTGCGAGTCTGAACTCAGTCACGTGAGCAGAAGGTCACACAGCGTTCGTTTGAGTTGTGTTGGATGATTTTAGGACTTCTTCCACATTTCAGAACCTGACGTTGGTCCAAAAGCATCACAGAGCACAAAAGTCGCAGTTTAAAGACCACAGAACACTTTCCTTGTTCGCTTTACAAACTAAAATTGACAAAAACTGACACGAATCGTAAAAGATTTAACGTATGTTTGAGCTACACGTTACCACACAGCAGCAGGGGAGTTCTGGTCCTGGTGATCCTGACATGGATCAGGATCTTATGGCGGCGTAACTGTGAAGCTTCAGGGTTCAGCGGTTGTGAATCCCCAGAATAAGGCGGCGGCGCCATGTTTCGTCTTGTACAGTCGGAGGAGGTGCGACGCCGGCCGTAGCCACCTGTCTCCCGCCAGGTGTTTGTTCTGGACAACGTTAGGATCCTCTGAGGTCTTCACATACCTTCTTCTAACTGACCAAAACTCTGAAACCCAAAGGTTCTTCAGTTTGGACGCAGCTTGAAAACTGACTGAAAGGTGGACCTACAGCTCCTGGACTGTTTCTAGAGACTAACGTTGAGGAGGAACTTTCCAGATTCATTCAGTCTTTTTGTTACCTGCTCAGACTGGGTTCTGGTTCTGGTTGGTTGACTTTCAGAAGAAGAAACATCAGCAGCCCTCCAGGATTAACCCATTGTACTTGGACAGCCTTGAACCGGTCCAACCTGATGGAGACTGTTACAGCAAACTTATTTATTCAACACCTCGTGGGGGTCGCCCCAAACCGACCGACGTCGAAGAGACAGCGCGGCGAGTTAAAGACGCAAACTGACTGAAGTTAAACTCAAAATGGAACAAAAACAACCACAAAGAGACACAAAATGGGTCAAATCGTTCCCTAAAAATAGACAAAACGGCAGCAGAGAGACAGAAAATCACCAAAATCAGACACAAGATGGAACAAGAACAACTGCAAAGAGACTGAAGTTGTGTTTTAGGTTTTTCTGTGCATGAAGACGATTCTAACGAAACATTCTCGTCTCTGCTGGACGAGCGTCCGTCAGAGCTCGACAGTTCATCGACGTTACATCAGAAAAATGAAACTCGCAGTTCGTAGATTCATGTTTTCGATCCGTGAAGCTCGACTTTAAACCCAAACTAATGTCAACGTCCGTCACTAAAGTCGGCACCTCGAGGTTTTCCTGAGCTGCCGCTTTGGAAAGTTCCTCCACGTTGGTTCTTGTGAGATCGTTTTCTGGAACTTTTGGTGGAGGGGAAAAAAAAAACAACAAAAAAATGGTGTCGCATCATTTCACGTCGTCTTCTGTTTGTTTGGCGGTCGAACGCTGCAGCGCGGCGCCTCGACGGTTTTCTTCTGGTCAACAGCGACTCGTCGTTCGACGTGAAACTGTAAAATGCATCAACGATTACTAACAGATGGGAGCACGGTGCGTTTGTTTGGGACTACTTTTAGCGGCGGATTAAGACGGGACGGTTGTTGACCAGAAGAAAATCAGCAAACAGATAAATCCCGACGCCTCGAACGAGAAACTGTTGACAATGAAAAGAGGAGCGAGTGGTGTGATGCTCTGCAGCTTCAGTATTACTAATAAAACTGGTGTCGACGGTGAAACTGATCCATGATTATGTCAGAACATGTTTTACTTTGTTTACAGGAGAGAAAAACGCCCGCCGGCTTGAGCTCGGCTCAGCGGCTCGAAGGTCACGAAGGTTTTTTAATTCAGATTTTAGTGTTTGTCATTTTTTAAACTTTTGTATTCGACTCATTCGACCGTCGATGTGCGAGACCCGTGGAGGTTTTTATCCTGAATGTTGTCGTCCTGAAGTTCTGTTTGCTCGTGATGTCGTGTTGGTTTGTGCATATTTTCATTAAATTTGTTATTTTTTCACGTCACTTTTCTGCCACGTTTAGGTGATTCTTGCTTTTGTTGAACACGTTGTCTGAGAATGTTTCAGGTTTCAGCAACAAATCTGTTTCAAAACTTTAAAAAGTGAAATGATTCTGGCAGACTGTCCTGATTTAATGTCCCTGAAGGCTCCTCGTTCTAAAACACATTCATGCTGCTTCTTTCTGCTCCAGTAAATAGAAAAACCACCGTCATGGCTCCGTTTTTAATATTTAAAACCATTTTTAAGTTTTGTAACTTATTAATGCATAAATATGAAGAAATACTTTCATGTTTTTTTTAATACCTTTAAATGTATCGCTACAAATTATTTATAAATGAAGTCTTAAAATATTTTAAAAATCAGATAACCTGCAGCAGAAACATGGAAAAGTTTTATTGCTTTTTTTTTTGACATTACCATAATATTAAACTGCACATGATTTTAAAAAAAATATTACAATTAAGACATAAAAAATATGTACAAGAATATAAAATAATTAGTTTTTGCCTAATATCAGTTTATTCTTATTTTTACTACACGTCTGCAGCTGCGTCCATTTATGAAATATTTTTGATCATTTTGAAAGTATATGACAGCAATTTTCTTTTTTATTTAAAATGTTTGAAAGTAAGAACATAATTTGCATGACATAAAATTTTGTTTATTTTCACATATTTATCGTAAATTTACTTTCTTTCATTACGTTTAGATTGCGATGCAGTTTATAAGTTTTTAGCTAAAATATTTCTCTGCGTTTTGCTCCTTCAGTGTGCCGCGTAAGTTAAAAAAATTTTAATATCTTAAAATTAAGTCTGTCAAAGTACGCACAGAAGTCTAATGAGATTCATTGTTTTTATTGTTTCTGCTGGAGCTTATTTCTAAGATGCGCAAATTAAACCAGGTATGTTAAATATTTATTACATTTAATTCCTAAATAAATCAGATGCATGTGACGAAAGAAAAACTTTAAAGAGAAACTCGAGGTAGTTCAGTTAGAATTCAAACTGTTTTCACGAGTAAAACTATATTATATTATATTATATTATATTATATTATATTGTAGAGGAACGGTGAAGATGGTGTGTTTCTGCACGGACGCTGTTCGTGGTTGCACCGAAACCCGGAAGTGGTTCCGTCCAGACTTTGTTGTGCACCTGAGCAGCTCGGAGACGCGGAGCATGTTCTACTGGATGAAGGGCAGCGGCGGCGGCCCCGAGCCGCTCCACGGCCTCGGCGCCATGTCCAAGAGCGACATCCTGCGAGGCATCATCACCGAGAAGCTGAGCACCGCCGCCCGGGAGATCCTGGCGGTGGTGGAGCGGACGGTGACGGACTACGAGGAGGAGGCGTCGGGCTTCAGACGGGAGCTGGACCGGCAGCGGAGACAGCTGGAGCTGCTGCAGCCTCAGGTCCAGCTGGAGAGACGAGGTCAGGGGCCGCCCGGGCCGAACTCCGTTTAAAAAGCGACTCGTTTAAGGCTTAATCGTTCCCTGGAGAACAAACAGACTTCAGAGCTCACAGAGTGAAGCGTGAACTAGTTTAAATGAGGTGATTAACGATTCGGCACTAATGCAGAACCACAAAGTTTAACCTACGTCTTCTCAGTGAACTCATTTTCAGTACGGTCGTGAGCTCTGCAGTCATTTGGCATCGAGTTGTGGAACTTCATTTAAAAATTGTCTGATTGAATGTTTTGTTGCTCGCTGACGAACCTGCAGACGTCAGACGTCATAAACAGAACACGAACAGGATTTCTAATGATGTTTTGTAAGATTCGGCATCACACCTCATCATGTAAATGAAGTCTAAGTTGGTTCATGGAGCCTCATTTAAAACACGGTTCAGTTAACATGTCGTTGTTGGGCAGCGGACACACTTCCACGCTCACAAAATTTAAAAGGAAAAAGTTTTAATGACTTGATCAACAGTTTGACATGAATACAGAAACCAAACTCCTCCTACTCTGTAGTCATTTAATGTCAGTCGTGGAACTTCATTCAGAAATCAACTAATTTAAGATTTTCTTGCTCGCTGACGTACCTGCACACGTCAGACGCATAAAGTGGAAACTAGAAAACTTTATAATGAAGAGATGTACAGTTCGGCTCCATCTAAACACAACCATGTCCTGCTGGATGTTCTAAACTCAGTCAACATGTACAGTTGGGGGTCAGATATTAACGGTTCTCATGTGACATCTTACCTCAGCTGGAACGCTGATCAGATTTTCTTTGGTTTCGCCTGAAAACTCAAAGCTCTGCTGCACGATGTGGACGGCCTCCAGGATGAAGAGGATAAAGAGCAGCAGCAAACTCAGCAGGTGTGTCCAGGTGATCCGGACTCTGGCAGCTTCGTCTGGTACAATGATGATGACGACGAGGAGCAACCGGCAACGAGCTCCACACAGCAACAAGAAGACCTGAAGGACCCGGATTATCAAACTCCATCCAGGTAACAGATCCCAGTTTCTCCCTGGTGGCAGGTAGAAACTGTAGGTGTAACACTCAGCAGCCAATCAGAACCTGTGGCTCTCCTGCAGGTCATCGACGCCCAGAGTTCGGTCTGTCAGGAAGAAGCCCGGCAGACCTCGGGTCAGCGACACTCAGAACCATCTGGAGCTGAAGATCCGAATCCTGGAGGCCTCTCAGGGCGACGTGCTCTCCAACGTCGGTACGATCTGTTGTTCATTTTATATTTCGTGCCTTCACGTGCAACCTGTAACCATTTGATATGTTCTGAGTTGACATTAGGATCAGGAGCGAAGCCCGTCAAGGTGTTCTTTAATCAGCCTGATGGTTAGTCTACGGCAGGATGCTGTGTCTGCACACTGAGAATACTTTACCTTCATCAATAATTAATAATTGGTTGATTGACGTCTGTCCTGTGCTGATATTTTTATTTTTATCCGTATGATGTGGACCAATTAATCTGTCTCCCCTCTGCTCCTCCTTATCGCCTCAACACACAGCTGACGGAGTGATGGACGGTTGTTCTGTACTCTGACGTTATTTCTGCAGTTACTGGCTTTAGGCTGTTAGCTAACGCTATGCTAGGTTGGCATAACTACAGCAATGCTACTGCTAACATAAACAGACAGGGAGTAGCTTAAGCTAGGTTAGCACAACTTTAGCAACGTAAATGAAAAGCATGACCGAAGCACACGTCAGTCGTCCTGACTCATGGCAAAGAGAGTTTAAATGAACCAGGAGACATGCTGAGTCATTGTTAATGTGAACCAGGAGACATGCTGAGTCATTGTTAATGTCACAACGTGGTTCTAAACTTATCTGATGCTGCCTGGCTGTAGCTTCCTCATGTACTGCTGAGAAGACAGTGGTGAGGACTGAAGGACTGAATGGAGTCAGAGCTCCATCTAGTGGACAAACGGCACAACAACAGCAATTACAGAAATTATGAATATATCACCGTTTAATCAGAAAAACTCTGGCCGATGATCATTATTTTGAAAAGGGCTATAATAAGTTGATTTAATCGGTAGGGCTCTAATCTTCAATCTTAGTTGGGTTTAACAAAGCTCCAGTTGGACGTCGTGAACCTCCTCAGAGTCTCTGTTGCTGCTAAACTCCCACAATGCTCTCTGCTGCCACCATGAGCTGTAGTCTGAGCGACGCCTCCTCTGGTCTCTACAAGATTAAACAGTGAGAGGCTCCACCTGGTGGAACAACCAGGTACTACAGCTGCTCTGTGGTACTTGAACTGTGTATTGTCTTAGAAACTGGGACTGGCAGATGGTAAATATCAAATGACTCGGATTTGATCAGTGGCAAGAGAAACGTACTTGGGACATCCGGAGCAAAAACTGAAGGTCCTTCTGTTCAGCTAATTCTAAGTCTTATCTTGTTGCTCAGAGTTTCTTTCCTTCATGGTGAATTTTCCTGTTCCAGCGTTTAAGAAGTACCCGATTCAGGAGCTTCCGTGTCCTCGAGGTCTGCAGGAGGAAGACTTTGTGGTCCTTCTGAGGTCCTCCTTCCCTCAGCTGGCTGGTGAACAACCTTTTGACGTTTTCGTGACAGACAGAAGCAGGAGACTTCAGCCTCTGAACGTCCAGACTCTGACCCCAGAGGAGGTCAGCAGGGCCATCGGGTCCGCTGGGAACTCTGCCCTCTACATCCGACTGAAGGTACTGCTCTGACCGAATTCTGAACTGTTTAAATCCATGTTGAAGTTAAACTCGTAGAAGAATCCATCAGGGCATTTTGCTGCCTACAGAGAAATATTTGTGCTGGATTTTGTGTCTGTTTTGGGATTATGTTTGTCGCTGGCTAATCAAGTGGCAGTTGGGAAGCTGTTGTTGTTTCTCTGAGCAATGTTGTTCCTGCCTTTGGTTTCCTTTGGGAACTTTTCCAGACAGCAGAGGGTCCCGGTAGCTGCAGTGACAACATTCACCCTCTACAGAAACCGGATGACAATGGCCGATCTGCCACAACGTCGACCAATCAAACAGGAATCAACACGAGGTAATCGGGAACAAAACGGCCGTTGCGTCTGCTCTCAGACCTCATTCTCTTTCAGATCGTGGTTATTCACATAGTGGGTTTTTTTTCTGCTATTGGGTTTTCGCCTCCCAGAGATCAGTCTGACAGGAGGAGGCGAGGTAGACCTAGACTCGGCGAAGAACCAACTCACCACTCCCTCAGGATCTGCATGTTGGACGACTCCGAGACAAACGAGGTCTCAGAATCCGGTAAATGGATGCGGCCTCAACTAATACATTGTATATTTTCATAGAAATACTCGTTAGGTTTACGGGACCTGATACTTTGTTTGTTATGAATTATTTAAGTTTGACCATCTAAACTAAATTCCATCATTTCTCTTTCCTTGTATGTGTACCCTACTTTTTTGTGGGGAGTTTGTTCAGGCCAGCGCTGTCCTCGTCAATCCCAGTTTGGTTGAGTCACGTTCTGGTCGGAGGTCATCAACAAAAGTCTTTGTCATTGTGCCTCATGGCATGTTGATCTACGTTCCAACCCTCATCTGTAGCTATGAATTCTGAGTAGTGACCAAAAAATGTACAAGAGGGCTTCCTTCTTAGGAAATGCCTCCTGGGAGCCTACCTTTAGTGGTTTTCCAGGCAACAGGCAACTGGGATTGAACCCTGCGGTAGATTTATCCTTCTAGGAGGGATTACATGTTTTACCTCTCCCAGGAATGCCTTGGTATCCCCCAAGACGAGCTGGGAAGTATTGGTGGATAGAGGGATGTCTAGGATGTGACCTGCTAGGTCCCAGTTCAACGGGACGAAAATGGACGATTGGAATTAGTTTTCTAACCAAATGCAGAATCTTAATTTGTTAGAACTTTTATTCTGTGTAATCTGGTTCTATCATACCTAGAAGGTATTTGGTCCTGCATAAGACTGACTGGATCATGTTTGATAAAGATGAGTTGATGTGGAGTGCCTGCTGTGTCCTTTCTGTTTCAGTGCTACTGAGGTCGGTCGTGAAAAACTTCAAGTGTCCTCGTGGTCTTCAGGAGTCCGACTTCTTAGACTTGCTGAGGTCCACCTTCCCTCAGCTGGCCGGAGACAACAAACCGTTTAGCATCTTTAAGGTCGACCGAAGCCAGAGGCTGCAGAGGCTTGTCGTGAACTCGCTGACACCAGACGAGATCTATCGGACCATGAAATCCACCGGGATCAGAAAGACTCTGCTCTACATCCGGCTGAAGGTACGCACTGGACTCATTTATGCTGCTGATGTCAACGAAAACAACTCAAACTAATATTATTTCCCCAACACATGAATGTGGGAACAAACTGTTGCAGACGGGAAAGGAAGAAGAGGAACCGGATGACGAACCGCTGCCCACTGATGCTGTGGTTATAAAGTCCGACAAGGCCGAGCTTCACTCAAGGTACATTTATAGCAAACAGCAGAGAATTTGTAGTTACTTGGTTGAGTTACTTAAACTGTTTCAATGATCGGACCTCAGGTACAAATTAAACTGATTTAAAATATTCCCTCTACAGCAGCTGTGTTCAACACGTAGATGGCACCGGAGTGGACGCTGTGACCTCAACGTCACAACGACATCAGGACCTGGAAATAAAAGAAGATGCTGCTGAGGATGAAGTGGACTCAAGCGTAGACAGAGATTGTGAAGAGGACCTGCACGGAGACGATGAGTGGAACCCAGATTCTGAGCTGCAGCTGCCAAAGCCATCGAGGAAGCCAAGGCCCAAAACTGGCCCCTCCAAGATTCTGAAGATACATGGTAGGAAGAGCAAAAGCCCATGTAGAGTGTGTGGAATCTGGTACAGGAACCAGGGCAGCCTGATCAGACACACCTGGAGCCACGTGGACGAGCCGCAGGCTGTTTGTGGAGTGTGTGGAGATCGACTCGAATCTGTGGAGGAGTTAAAGGCACATCTTAGAAACCATCAAAAAACCTTTGACTGCTCGCAGTGTGGCAAGCCGTTCTTCACCCTCCACAGCCTCAACCGCCACAGCTCACTGCACACCGGAGACAGACCGTTCAAATGTGACGTCTGCAACAAATCCTTTGCTCACATGTCCATCCTGACCACTCACCGTTGGGTCCACGTGGCCGATAAACCGCACAAGTGTGACGTTTGCCAGAAATCATTCGGTCTGAAGGCGCAGCTCAGAGCTCACAGCAAACTGCACACCGGCAGAGACAAATACATCTGCAACATCTGCGGTTTGTCGCTGTACGACCTCAGGTCTCTGACCCGCCACAAGCTGACCCACTCGGGGGAGCGGCGCTACGGCTGCGAGGTCTGCGGGAAGCGCTTCAAACTTTCCAGCACGTTGAAGTCCCACGAGAAGATCCACACGGTCAGGGAGCGGTCGTACCTTTGCCACATCTGTTGCAAGACTTTCCTGTCAAACTCCAGCCTAAACCTTCACGTCAGGACGCACACCAATGAGAAGCCGTTCGTCTGCATCGTCTGCAGCAAAGGCTTCGTGGCCAACGGCGAGCTCAAGTCCCACATGCGGGTCCACACCGGTGAGGCGCCGTACGGCTGCTCTGAATGTGGCCGCTTCTTTAAACGTAAGAACACCCTGGACTGTCACGTCAGGAGCCACCTGGGCATCAAACGGTTCGTATGTGGGGTTTGTGGGAAGGCGTGTTCTCGCCAGGAACACCTCACGGTCCACATGAGGACCCACAACGGAGAACGGCCGTACCAGTGCGGCCTCTGCGACAAAGCCTTCACCCAGAGCCACTGTCTGAAGACACACATGAAGAGCCACCAGGCAGAGGAAAGCCCCTTCCTCCATCCGTCCACGTCCTGAAACATGTTCATCACCCTGAAATGCAGAATAAAACACTTCGCATCCAGACTTGTTTCAGAGAAATGTGGCCTTTTTGGTTTCTGTGGAGCTCTGTGTCCTCTTTTTGCTTACAGCTCATGTTTAGCTAACTCTTGATAACATAAATCCTTGCTAAAGTCTAGAAGCTGGTGCAATTTTATTGATGACTGAACCTGTAGCTTTATTTTTTACTTCTCTGATTTGGCTCTGGACCTTGACCCGTTGGACCAACTTTGTGCTCCAAGTCACATCCCTTGTTCTCAGTTGAACTGGAAGTATTTTTTTGCAGCGTGGTGGAGCAGATATCAGATGAATCTGCACAAACTGACTGTATAATCTTATGACAGCAGATTTTGCAGACTAATATCTTTACCAATTCCTTCACTAATTTTCACAGCCCTGCTTCTCGGCTAAATAAGTCATTACTTCGGTTTTGTTCCACAGCATTCAGAAAATCAACAGTAGAACTCAGGCCTTCCGATGATGTTTCCGGTTCATCTGTGTTGTCAAATAGTCCAGTTTTGAAATTACACCAAGTTGTTTGCATTGCCTGCAATCCAATACAATGCCGTTCTCTGAGATTATACAAGCCTCAAGATTTGTAGACCAGCTGCAGTACCTGGTTGTTCTCACCGTTTAATCCTGTAGAGACCAGAGGAGGCGTCACTCAGACTACAGTTCCTGTTGGCAGCAGAGAGCATTATGGGAGTTTAGCCAGTAGAGGGGCGCCATGACAGAGACTATGTGATGCTTAATGATCTCCGTCCAGAGCTCATGTTTTCAGACGAGTTCAGATCAGCAGGGACAGTTTTCATGTATAACAGTTATTCTGGTAGGTTAATGGTAGCAGCTGGACCTGTTTGAGTTTCTTGAAGACGTTCCACCTTCATCCAAGAGGCTTCATCAGCTCTGACTGACTGGTTGGGAGTTCCACATACTGGTATCCTGAAGGAGCCGTGAACAGCTGAGTTTGATTTCAGTTCAACAAACCCCAACTGAAAACGAAACTCAAGTGTTGAAACGTCTTCAAGGAACTCAAGCAAGTCCAGTCGCTACGATTAAACTACGAGAATGACCATGACCTGGAGGACTGAGAATCTCCACAGACATGTACAACAGGTACCAATAAAAGCAATGTTCATGTTGCACAAATGACCACTGGGCTCAGTTTAAGTGATAAATTTTTCAGTTGTCGATTGAAAATGCTTCATTTATTAAGAACATTATTCACATATGTTTCTGTTAATAAGTTAATAAGTGCCTTCATCAACCCTGATCCCAACCTTAAGATCAAGACATGTAAAGGCCCAGCCCCCGACAGAGATGTTGGTGAGTCTTTGTTTTTGTTATGATGTGACCAAAATAAACTACACTTGGTTTAAAAAAAAAAATAATTAAAAATGTTGTTGTAAGAATGCAGAAGTACGGTCTCTGTTCCAGTGTTCCCTGTTTGACTCCCTCCAGGTGTGTTTTTGGTGTGTTCTCGGTCAGGGCAGCTCCAGCATGTCGTGCTCGGCCAGGATTCGTTGAGTTCTTGTGTGCACCAGCGTCAGAGCGTGGATGATGATCCGCAGGACGGGTGCCGCCTCCTGCTGGTGCTGCACACATACGAGCTGCAGGAAGTACTTCCTGTCGGGGAGGGCGAGGAAGACGAACTCGGCAGCCTGGCGAAGCATCCAGGGGTGGTGGGGGGCCAGCGCCACCTGGTAGGCATCCCTGCGGGAGGAACAACGTTAGGTGGGCAGGTGTTGCTAATGAAGAGCTCACAGCTACAGTCGGGCTGCTGTTACCTGCTCAGCTCTCCTGGTGTTTTGTATTGGCCGTCGGCGTCTGGTCCGTCGGCCAAACCCTCCAGCATCAGCTTCAGCCAGAGGAGGGATCGATGCAGCCGCAGCAGCGTCCGGCAGCCGGAGTCAGTGCGGCGAGTGAAGTCGACCGCGCCCGCTTTTAGCTCCGCCTTCACCATGGATCGCACCGAACGATACGCCTCGAAGAAGAGATGGTAAAAAGCAGCCGTAAGTTTCAGTTTCACATCGTCCTGTTGTGTATAAGTGCTGGATTGCCGGCCTCACCCCGTCTCTCAGTCCAAAGGCTGCTGGAGTTTGTCGTCCAGAGCGGTCATCGGGTTTCCCGTGAGCCGCCGCTTGGTGTTTGAGCGACAACTCTCGAATCACCACAACCTTTTCTTGCACTTTTTGAGAGAAGAAACTGACCATCGGCCCGAGAGCCTCCATAAAACTGAGGAGACAAATGAGAGCTATCAGAGAAAGCAGTAGAACTAATCGCAAATTAGTTCCAGAGTTTATTAGAAACCCGACAAATGTCAACATGTGAGAAGCTCCGACCAGGGAAAGTGACTATTTTACAACCTACAGATCTCCTAAATCCGACATGTCTCAACAACAAACGTTGGTCCTTCAGGAGGTTTATTATTTGTCCCTAAAGTTTCGTACTTGAGCAGCTGATCCCAGCTCAGCAGGTACGACTCCAACAGGATGTCGTCTTCGTCTTCGTTTGACAGGCAGGACTTCAGGTACAGCAGCAGACGCCAGGCCTGAAATGACTGGCCGGGACACTCCTTTATGAGGGGCGGAGCTTCGTCTGGCTCCGCCCACTGCTCAGGAACCAACAGAGGCTCAGGCTGAAAGAGGAAAATCAGTCACTCGATGTGTGGAGTCTTTACAGTCATGTTTAAAATTAAACCAAACCAGCCTCATACATTCTTTAAATTACCATTTGTTTGTTGTGTTACAAGCTAATTCCATCATTTAGACGTTTATTGGCAACAGATGTCAGGATAAACAGGATTCAGGTTGGACTAGTCCTGACCCGGTGCCTCTTTGGGTTTCAGGTGAAGGTTTTGTCAGTGTGTTAGTTGTACCTTTTGGCGGTGAAAACTCAAACATGGCTGCCCTGCGGTGCCGCAGTCTTGGACTCCACCTTGAGCTGAAGACACAAACCACGTTAACAGTGACTGATAATTCAAGTCTAAATCATTCCTGAGTTGATGCCTTATTAAAAATACTTTACATAAATACAGAAATTACCTGTAAAGACGATAATGAAAACAATTTTGAGGGGTTTCAAGTTTGGTCGGTGCCCATTAATGTGTGTTGCGTTTTTTGCAGCTAAGCTAGCAGTTTGGCTTCAGATACAGTTGCGCTACAATTTGTTCATCGAGCGCAATCATCATGTCAACATTTTGGTATACTCAAACTGTTTGTCACCAAATACCCTCAAAAATAATCACAAGCCCACCAGCTGGACCAGATGATGAGGCTTAAGTAGTTTGACCAGAAAAAAAGGGACCAAAATACGGCAAGCCAACAGAAATAACTCTGCCCAGGTGTTAACTTAGTTATGAATGACCAGCGTCTGGATGCCGGGACTGACGCTGCCAGCACAGGGCCACAATCACCCCAAACAAAATGTCTGATCCAGCCCATGCTTAGCCAAGTCTGGGTTCTGAAACCCGACCGGGATCAGTCCAACAACAGAACAAGAACTCAACACTCTGTGAAATAAGCAACAACCGACACATTATTCTACCAAATCTAAGCAATGGCTAACCCTGAGTACCTGACCATTTTTTACAGACTATGCGCTTAAATTTTTAAGCTAACGATGGCTGGCTAGCAGGCTACATATGAACTACCTTCCCCCAAAGATCGGTTGTGCTCTTAGCTTGGTGTGGACAGCGGTTACCACTGGGCAGACTCTGGTTGTAAATAACGATGCTAACGCTAAGATGACGGTGCTAATTTTGTCACTTGAGGAAGTTACGTTGGAGATGCTGTGTTCAACAATAACAAAAGAGAATGACACACGTTTACACTGTATGCAAGAACGTGTGCTTTGTTGTCATCAGCGGTGGAAACCGACTGAGAGGCGGAGCCAACATGGCCGACCAGTTTGAGTGACGGACGAGACTCACGTAGCCAGAAGGAGCTGACGAAGAAGAGCAGAGCCAACATGGCCGACAGCAGCAGGTAACGAAGCAGCAGCGTCCGTCGGAGGAAAACCATGGCGACCGCGACTCACAGAAACACACAGAAACACACAGAAACACACACTCTCGCTGCGACGCCGTGAAGTTCAAACACACTTGTTGTTGACAGTCACATGTTCACTCACAAGCGCCTGCAGGGCGACCTTTGAACGTGACCTTCGTCCTGCAGCA